GATGAAGCAAAACCTTTGCATAAAAATAATTGAAGAGGCAGGTTGTGTGTTCCTTATAATTTCTGTTTCTTCTATTGTAAAATTTTTAAAAAACCTCTTGGAAGAAACCCTTGATTTTCCCCTCTCTCCTGCCCAGTTTTTCCTCCCTTGGGCCTTCACATTTATTATTTATTTATTTAACATTTTTATGCCGCACCCATTGCCGAAGCCTCGGGGCGGCTTGCAAAGAAAATAAATAAACAAAGAATAGAACAACATTAAAAATTTGGAGTTTCTCAGCCATAGTATCTCTAGCTCTGACTGAAATCTAGTTATGACGACAGTATGGTTGGCCGGAGAATGCTGGGAATAACAGGACTCTCGCTATATAACCATGCACAGAAGTGCACCTAATTAAGCACTTCTTAATTAGGCATCAAACCAGCATCACAGAGAGCCTGGCCAGACACACGGCTCAGCGCTGTACGGACCAAAGTCTGCGGCTGCTGTGTGGCAGGACGGCACCCCGGCAGCAACCTGTTTCCAAAGTCCTTTTTGAGGAACCTTGGAGGCGGAGGCGCTTCAGAAACAGCTTAGGGCAGGGAGGGCGAACCTTTTAGAGACCGAGAGCCCAAACTGCAACCCAAAACCTACTTATTTATCGCAAAGTGCCAACACTGCAATAAAACCTGAATAATGAGGTTTTTGTTTAAAAAAAAACAACTCATACATTAACATCTTTTGTCTTAAAAGAAAAACACAACAACAGAGTTTAATGATACGAACATATATATATCCTTGGCAGCACACTGACCGGCCATGCAAAAGCTCGGACGAGTTGCAGCTAACGAGTCGCAGCTCGTGGCATTATCGCCTGGCGCCACTATTCCTTTCCAAGTGTGCGCCTGGCCCCCGAGTGCGCTGTTATCTGATGCTCGGCTGCTGGGGCGATGCTGGGGCGACTTGGCTTGCGTGTCAACAGAAAGGGCTCTGCGTGCCGGCTGCGGCACATGTGCCATGGAGTCGCCACCACTGGCTTAGGGGTTCCTCAATGAGCAAGTCAGCAAAGGTCTCTCCAGAAGGTCTTTCTCCACCATTAAACACCTCCCCCTGTAATGCCCACCTATATTCAAGGCTAGGGTAGAAAAACTGTGGGAATTCAGATTACAACTCTCAGTGAGCCTGCTTTGTGGCCAGATTGACTGGGGCAGATGGGAACTGGTGTCCAACAAAATCATGGCCTCCCCATCTCACTGTAGGCATGGTTGGTACTTCTGTGAACTGTGAGCCTACTTTCAGAATGCTCTCCACAAGCAAGCTGTGATAGGTTTTTCTCAGAGGACAAATTGATGCAGACAGAGCTTGCCAAGGGTAGGTGGTTTGAAGACCAGTACCTCCAAGCCAGGAGCTTTACCTTATGTTGTTGCATTTATCCATGCATATTTATGCCAAGGTTCTCTGGGCAACGTACATAACAATTTTAAAAACTGCATTTGAAAAAGAAACAATATACACACACCAACACAATTGTAAACAAAAACAGTACAGCAAGGAGAAGCCAATCAAATAAACAAGAGCCAGGTCTTTTGATAGTGCAAAAGCTCGAGCATCTCATAAAAAGTGTAAAAGGGGGCCTCTTTTTTAAAAAAAGGGATGATAAAGTCTTCACCTGGCACAAAAAAGGAGACAAGAGAGGAGTCTATTTGGGAGGGGGATGGCACCAGGGCGTCATTACCAGGAAGGCCCTCTCCTTCAGGGCCATCCTCCAGACCTGTCCCCACGCTCCTCAGGGCAGGGTGACACAGGACAAAATAAGCTCCGTGGGACATAGGGAAATACAGCAAGCACCAGAACCGGAAAGGTGCAACTGAGCATCTTGTGCCGGTAGAACCCAGGGGAATGGCAGGAAGCAGGGAATGACTGCCGTAAATTTAACCTGGTCATTTCTTTATCATCATGTCTCTTCAACTGGGTTTTCTCAAACCGTGGTTCGACATTTTCTACAAATGACATAGCCTTTCATCTTCATTTTGATGATAAAGTAATAAAATCTGCACATAGAAGGATTAGATAGTAATTAAGGATTCATGTGTGAGATAGAAGAAGGGGCTGGAGCTTCTCTGGGCTTCTAAAATTTGAAGACATAGGATACTAAATGCATTCTTTTCTAGTCTTGTTGACTCACAAACAACCATGTCTAACTCAGAGACTTGTTGATTAAAGCTGTTTCATACCAATGTGTCCAAAACTTCACCAACCATATACCGTGTGTGTGTGTGTGTGTGTGTGTGTGTGTGTGAGAGAGAGAGAGAGAGAGAGAGAGAGAACTGCAAATACATATGCATATTGTATTTGCAAATATGAAAATTATATATAAAGATGCAACAAATCTAAGGGGTGGGTTTAGGCAAAGAAAGAGCATGTGCCTGTCCTCTATCAGACCTCCAAATCACTTCCTTGTTTCTAGTCGGTTCTTTTAAGAACCCTGGAAGTCTTCATCCAAGGCCTTCAAAGACCATCGACAGGCCTGGTTCGAACCCTACCCGTCACTCTGTGCCAGCCCAGAAAGCCCTGACTAAGCACTGCTGTGCAGTGGAAATTGCAAAGCCATCTCAGGATCATGCTCAAGAAGCCGAGGTGTTTACAGTAAATGAAGGTGCTACATATACAGAATTAAGAACCAGAAGGCAAAAGGAGTGCGATGACACGATGGCCACAGGAGAGCAAAGAGCGACTGCTCTGACCACGAGAAGCAGCCCGCGGATTCTTTTCTCCCCAGCCTGTTACTCCGATGGTGTCGATAGACAAGCCCCCCAACTAGCTAGGGCTTCGCACCAGCAATGGGCACTTCTCCCCACACACCAATAAGCCATGGTTTGTTTGCAGCTTTCCCCAATCCGCTGCCTAGATGCACTGGACTACAGCTCCCATTATCCCTACCTGTGAATGACTGGGGAAGACAGAATTCTGGTCCAACCCACTTGGAAGGTTCCAAATTGGGGAAATCTGGTTTACTGGATCACACCTGGATTTTTAAACCACTGTTTCCCCTTACATTCAAAGCAACAGCCTGTCATTTCTAACAAGCAACAGTGGTTTCAACAAAACTCTGGACATCTTCTGTTACATCCCACAAGGGTACAGAGGAGTGGAGGAAGCACGCAAGCGTGATATGCGCCCAGGTGTTTTGAAGGTTATACCTGAGCTAGCACACACATCCCCTCTGAATTGAGCGCGCCTGTCATGAAACATCTCCCAGCCAAGTAAATGCTATCACCACAAAGAGGAGGCTTCCCTTAACTCTGAGAAAAACCTTTGTACATGGGGAAGAAAATGCAGCCCCATGTACCCTGGAACCTGAAAAACAAGGTGTTTTTATCCCTGGCATTTTACATGTTAAACTGAAAAGCACAAACAGAAGTGAGAAGGCTTGCAGCTCAGTGGGAAAGCACACACCTTGCTTGAAGAAGGCCCCAGGTAGTCTCCCAGCATCTCCAGGTGAGGCTAAAAATTCTAACCTGAAAGCCTAGAGAGCAACAACCAATCAGGGTGGCTTTGATGGGCTGGATCGATCCAGAACCTGACTCAGTCCAAGGTGACTTCCAATGTTCCTACGAAACCCTGGTAAACACCCGTATTTCATATAAAGCGCAGCAAAGCTCACAGGTAAGAAGCGCTTTAAAAAAGTCTGCAATAGTTTTTGTTATACAACTATACAGAAACAACCCCCACAAAACCCCCAAACTGACTTAACCCTTATCACCAAGTGTTGGAAGAAATATATCAGCTGGAGTGATCCAGTGCAATGAACAAGCTGAGCAATGCAGATACACGTTAGCAACCAAGACAAGACGGTAACACATCCTTTCCGTGAGCTATGCATTGTTCTATGCATCAAACTGGTCTGCCTTTCCTCCGTGTTGCTGTACATAGGGTTATCTCATTTTATCTTTGCAAAGGCCTGCTGAGGTAGGCTAGAATGTGAAATACGCCAAGATCACCTAGTGTTTAGCAGAACACGAACTAACATATCCTGGCCAAAGTCCAGCAGTCTACCTGCTATGCTCCCAACTGCCTCTCCAACTGGACAACTAAATGCAATTTTCTGCCTTTCCATCCATACAGTTTGCCAAAGCAAACAGTTCTCCCACTCATGGAAGAGCCCTCCAAATATAAATATCAGCTCTCAAAACACTTTGAAACGGCCTCAGTTCCCTCTTCTAGAAGGGATTTCTGCTTGTCATGAGCAGAGTCAGCTGGAGCCAGGGGTCAGACTAGAAGGCCCAGCAGGCCCCTTCTGACTTGCTCTGTTTCTGTGTTGCTATTAATGGTCCAAGAGTCTCTCAAATCTGACGCAGAGCAAAGTATTTCTCTGGAAGAAAACACCCTACCTTTCAGGAATTCTGGTCCCAGCAAAGCTAGCTGCCAGCTCTTCTGAGCCACAGCATGTGATTTCTGATGGGTGTTGCTAAACATGCTAGAATTACAAGAGGAGGAAGTGCCAAATTAAAGCATAAACAAAACAGGGCCCTGTTAAGGGCACGGAGGGAACCTTCTCTGGGTAAACTAAGAGCCATTTGACAAGGAGCGCAGAATTAGGTGGTGTAATGCAGTACTCCTTTAGCAGTTACTAGCTATGAAAATGCAGCACTTCCAACATGTGAACCATACCTGCTAGACAGAAGGCTAACACCTTGCAAATCTCTCCATTAAATGCTAACTTACTACATGCAAGGAGCTTTTCATACAGGAGAGATCAAAATGCATCCTTGCATCTTCAGTCTGAAGTCCACAAGTTCACCCTCTCCCCTTGGCCCACCTGCATAAAACAATGTGTGATGTAGCACTGAAGTGTCCTTCCTTTGCAGCCAACATGCTTCCGACACAACAGACAAATCTGAAGTTTATGCCAGCCTCTCTCTCGCCGAATAACACGGGAAGGACAGGCCTTCCACTGGGCCCGGCATCTTCATCACATCTCGCTATAAACAGAGTGTGGACAAAGGCAGCAAAGCACTTACCCAAGGTGAACTCCCATTGTTCATTCCCAAGAGAACGCTCGGGAACCACTTCCAGATCTAGCATTGGACCAGCCAGAGGAACGGCCCAGTTCCCACACAATTCCACAACGTTACTGCAGTGTGACCTGAACAAGGAGAGAACACACACCCAAGCTTACGTTTCATCCTTTCAATCTAAGGTCATTCCCCAAAGCAACATATAAACATTCCCTGGTGCTCAAACTTGGTCGAGGAAAGCTTCTTGTTACGGTTAATAATGTTATTGTCTCGTCTCTCTTTAACCTGCAGGATGCATGTCTTAATTATCCCTCATTTACACAACGGTTAAGTGCTCTGTGTGGGGCTGCCTTTCAAAGAGTTTTAAAAATACAGCTGTGGAAAAAGGTGGCGGCTGGACAGTTGACCTGTGTGTGCTTTGGGCCACTGGTCCAAACCAGCTTTGTTTCCCAGCCCTATAACATTCTAAACCGGCTGGAGGCCACGGTCCGTGATACCCGCTTCCTCCCCTATTTGCCTGCGTGTACCCTGAAATCTTCCCCTAAACCTCTGTTGCACATATTAGCACAGGCCAGGCTGTTCTGAAGCCGTACCCCAACTTTAGAACTTATTCGTAACAGCAGTCATGTTGGCATTAGGGCTGAAAAGTCTCTGTTGCTTCACTGCCACGATGACCTGCAAAATCGCTTTGGCGTTGGGCTTCTTCTGCTTTTATAGCATTTTTTTGTCATTGTACAGCACTCAGAGTCCTGGTGGGATAAACTGATTTAATACTTATTTTTAATCAACAAATAATAGGAAACATGCTCAGCAAGAAAGGATCAGTGAGTCTGATAAACATTCAAAGGTGTAAGCGCACATACACACAAACACTGACAAACACTGGCAGAATCCTGCAATTTAGACCTGCATACTTCCCACCAAGCATGCTCACCTTGAGGCCACATCCAAACTCAACAACAGGTATACAGGTAAAATGACTGGAGACCTCCCAGCCATACGAGCTAGCCAGTTTGCCAGGGCCAAAAGTGAATTATGCTGCTTTCTTCACTGCCAAGCCTTGGGATGGCCTCTCGGCCTGTCTTCCCTCACCATAAATTAGAGCACTGGGGGAAGGAGGCTTTTTTTAGAGGAAATGCAAATACTTCCCAAACACACCTCTTGTTCCTAAAATACTCAAGGAGGCACACAGGGCAAAAGGGGATACTGTCCTCTGCTTACAGAAACCCAATGGAGAAACCCTACAAGAAATACTCTCTCTTGGAAGAGTCATCCTTAGGGAGTAAACACACGAGCACTTTAGACATGGACAGAAACTGTGGCCCCTTATTCAGAACAGGCACTCTGGGAGGCAAATAACTTTCCGGACATTAGAGACATGCAGGACGGTCTCCAGCCTCTAGACACCCGACAAAGCTGTGCTGTCCGAGTAGGCTTACGCATGCCGCTCGAGGGAGATGTGCTCCACCCAAATTACCAAGGAACAGGGTCGGGGTCCCCCACCCCCAGCATCTTTCACCCAGGCAAGGCCTTCAGCCACAAGCAAAATATATTTGAGGGACAGGGTACCTGGAAAGAGCCCTCCCTACAGCAACTCGCCAGGGAAAAGGCCCGCATCCAAAACTTCACTGCATGTGCCCCAGCACCATCCACACGCTCCCTAACCTGAGACACGTGAAGGTGAGGGAGATGCGGGCAAATAGGGGAGACCTCAGGTACTGGGGGGGATTGAGCCTCAAAAATCTCTCTGCCCTCTCCCTCCCTCCCTCCCTCCCTCCCTCCAAGTGGCAGCCTTTGTTTCCCAAAAGAAAACAGGAGAGAAGAAAGGCCAAGTCACTGGGGTCGGGGGGGGGGGGGCACAGGACAGCCCTCCAGGCTCCCCTCCCCCGGGCTCACGCGCCCCCCTGCAAACCCGGCCAGCCAAACGGGCCGCCCTCCTCACAGCGCCCCCACCTTCCGCGGGGCTCCGCCGGCATCTCGCACACCTTGCAGGCAGGTGATCTGCTCAGCGCGCACCCCCGCCCGACGCGGGGCCCCACCCCTCCCCTAGCGGGGGGCCGCCCTCCCCACCCCCGGAGCCGCGGGGGCGAGAGGAAGCCGCCCCACCCGCCCCGGCCGCGCAGCGCCCCCGAGCCCCCCGCTCCGGGTTGCGGGGCACCCAGCCCCTCCCCACCCGCGGAGGGGCCGGGGCACGGACCCGTTG